GGTGTCCCTTGCATCTCTTTACTGTAATCTGACCATAGCGGTGTCCCTTGCATCTCTTTACTGTAATCTGACCATAGCGGTGTCCCTTGCATCTCTTTACTGTAATCTGACCATAGCGGTGTCCCTTGCATCTCTTTACTGTAATCTGACCATAGCGGTGTCCCTTGCATCTCTTTACTGTAATCTGACCATAGCGGTGTCCCTTGCATCTCTTTACTGTAATCTGACCATAGCGGTGTCCCTTGCATCTCTTTACTGTAATCTGACCATAGCGGTGTCCCTTGCATCTCTTTACTGTAATCTGACCATAGCGGTGTCCCTTGCATCTCTTTACTGTAATCTGACCATAGCGGTGTCCCTTGTCTCTTTACTATAATCTGACCATAGCGGTGTCCCTTGAATCTCTTTACTTTTATGCATTGTTTTCTGCAGAGATACGAGCGCTCGTTCGTTTACAGGACTGCACAATTATGGGAAACTGGTTTGTGAAATACTTGAGAGAAAAGGAACGGCCACTTTTGATGAGGTGGGAATCGTTTAGTTTTCATTGGAATTGATTGACAGTGTGTATTGGAATTTCATTTCGAATTAATTTAGCCACAAAATGTCCGTATAAATGTTGTGTTGTTCATATGCTTTACAAACAACGGAATATGACAAATGCAAATAGTATAGCAAAGGAAAACAATGTAGTTGATCGTTAAGTAAATAATTCTAATGACAGATTCATTTCTTTTCAGCTTCTTAATGAGATGGATAATGGAATTGATAAGGTAAATTACAAACAATTCAACAACTCATAATAATTAATGAGTTATTAGGCCAATAGAATGAGCCTATTTGGTCACATGCATAGACCTTTATATAAAGAATACTAATAAGGGTAACTTTTATCAGATATAAAGGTCCATGACCCTAGCAAAGGTCTCAGGTTTGATACCTGATAATTGACCAATGCAGGATGTCAACCGATTGCAGTAAACAGCCAAAAGCGATTCTATTTTACTTTGTGCTTTGTTGAGTGATTTTAGCGCATGATCAGTTGGCCCCATTTGATATCAAACCTTATTTTTACGGCAATTTCTCCAAGAATTTTAACACTTTTGAGTTTAAAATTAGTGTTGGAGTTTTTGAAGCCGTTTAAAACGCTCGAGATCGTGTTTCATCACAGGGAGCTCAGGCTCTTTATCAGTGGTTCTTATGTAGCCACCCCTCCCCTCCCTTTTTTATTTTACCGTTATCTTACAATAAAAAACAAAAGAGCCAAAGTGTAATAGCGATCAATACACTAAAGTGTGTTTCACGGGTTAATGAAAACCACTCTAAGAAACTAACATTTAAGAACCTGTTAGGCTAAAATTTCATTTTTAAGCACCCTTAACATAACTAACCATTTTAGGCTAAAATTCTAAGACAGGTTCTTATTTTGAAAAAAAGGAAAAAATACTCTTCTCAAAATATAGAAAAAAATATTCTCAAAAATATATAAATAAAACAGTCTGTACACACTGATAGTAATTACAGCATTTGATTTTAACAATAGTGTAGTATTTTGCTTTCCGAAGCCTCCAAGAATACTGTTATCAGATATTAAAGACATAAAAATTCTACTTTTCTTCTTGAACAAAAGTTAAGAACCTAATTAAGAACCTAGTTAGCCTAATTTTACACTAAATACCATTTATATAAGAACCTATTTACGCAAACTTGAAAAAAAACTAGGTTCTTATACGCGGGTTTTTACTGTATTTATTTCTATGTGTTTCTATGGTTTCGCGACCTACCATGCTAATTTCGGCAAGTTTGGACTTGTAAAAAAAGCAATCGGCTGAATATTTTATGGGTAGGACCGAATTACTTGGCAATTCAAAAAATCATTGAAAATGCAGAATACGGGTTAGTCCCTGTCGAGAAAATACGCAGTTACCCATAAATCTGTGCGAGTGTAACCCAAGAAAACATGTGTAGTGGACCAAAAAAAGGAGCTTTTTCTCGGCTTGCTCAATAAAACAATAGGCAATAGGCTGACCAATGTAAAGCAAAAATGCCAAATTTCCTGAAAAAGTTGAGTTTTGTCATGAAAGGATTTTGAGCAGTAGAACTGGAAAGAAATTAAGCCATTCTCTAGCGTCCTTAACTAAAGTGAAACAAACAAAAGTGACTGTGATCGTTACGAAAAAGAAGCAGAAGTCTTAGTTTAGAATCTAGCAGGCAGGTAATTCCCCTAAACAACACAATCAATACATTTGTAAGCACCTTTGCCACTAAACAGAGAAAAGGGATTTTGTTTTAAAAGAGTGGTCGATTATCGTACAAATATGTAGGATTGGGAGTTAAAGGGTTAAACTATACACAAACCACTTGTTTCCATAATCTTTTAAGGAAATAACGTCAGGAAAAACATGGCCAGAAATTCCGGACATTTGAGCCCGTGACGAGTCAGCGGGTTTTCCCACCAAAATAGAGCTTTCTACAAGTTCCCTTGAAAGATCAAATTTTCTACTCTTGTGCAAGGATCCTTTATCTCAATACCATACAGGGTTATCGAAATGTTCAAAACATCGACAAACGAGCCTGGGATAGCACTCCCTGCTCCTTGAGTTCATACTCGTTTGGAATGTTCATAGTATAGTATAAATAATATTATTTGCTGGAACACACGTTTGCCTCAGGTATTTTAAGCAATATAATGACAAGTTGATATTGTGATCTTTTGTTTATACTTGTACATTTCTAAGGAATTTAAAAGTTCTGACATTGTTTACACTAAATAGCGGAGACTTATTTGGTCTATCTTTCGTTCGTGCGTATTTCCCGCTATTTACCAGTGCGCGCGAGGCGCCAGTAAAAACCTCCAAAATTAAAGCAGTCCCAGTCTGAAAGCCACGTTTCTAAGGTTTATTTTTGTACCAAACAGGGCGAATAAAATAGAAAGAAAATGGAAGATCGAGGCCAATTATTCGCGTGAAACACGAGTCGTCGCCAGCCATTTCACCGTCAAGTTAGTGTTTTCAAATTGCACGATTTCTAGTAAAAAAAGGACGCTGTTTATCGTCCTCAGAATAGCCGAAAATCGCTGTGTTTCTAGCTCAATGTGTGGACTTTGAGAAATGATCTTTGAAAAATCAGTGACATGTAAGGAAACACGATCAGCTACGGTGAAAGTTCGCTTCTTCGCGGATTTTCACCATGAGATACAAGGGCAAAGGGAGACGACGAAAGGAAAATAAGTTGTCAAAAAGGACGCTCTTAACAATTTCGTATTTATTTGGCTTTCCTACAGTGGAATCAAGAAAGAATAGTTTCCCTCTAGGATTTCACCTTGGAAAACGTTCCAGGTAAAACAGATCAAATGTTATATTATCAAATAGTTTTTTTCCGTACATTTCTTTGTAAAATTTAACAAACATGTTTTTATGCTTTCTGCGAAGAACCGCTGCTATTGCGGGCTCGTATGTCCGGATTTTCTGGCCATGGTTAAATGTGTTATTTTCAGTATTGTCCTGACACTACTTCGAGTTATGTTTTTAGCGAACATTAATTTTGTGTTAATTTTGTCACTTTGTTAAAATGATGTCTTATCTATTTTATCAATTGTGATAACAGAAATCAATATACTTTCCTACTAGGAAAAGGCTACACGACGAATATACGATGTTCTAAATGTTTTTGAAGCCATGGATATCATATCAAGAAATGGAAGAAATATCAATTGGCTGGGTTCCAGTCAAGAGGAACAAAAACTCAAGGTAATGTTATTAGTCAGGAAAGCAAAGGTGGTCGAGCAGCGCTGGCCTGTCACTTCTGTGGAACTTCTGTGGACCCTGTTCGAATCTCGGTCGGGACGCCCTATGTGATTTGAGTTTCTTTCGTTCTCTCCCTTGCTTCGAGGGTCTCCCGGGTCTTTTCCGGTTTTTTCCGGCCTCACCCAGTAAAAACGCTCCGCTATCAGCCGGTAGCACGCCTATGTGTCAATGTATGTAAAATCACGTGTCTGTAAAATAGCACGAATTTAGAGTGCACCGAGCTGCGTCTAGTTCGCAATTCAGCAACGGTGCTGACATGAAGGACGATTAGCCCAACACACTGCACCTTATCTGTGGTAGTCGTGTGTAACAGCTAATTTCATTATTATTTGTGAGGATTTTTTCCTAAGTGGAACAACTCTGTATTACAATTAGGAACTCTGAATTACATGACATGTGCTTGCAAGGTATTCAAATTTTGATGAACTTTTCAGATTTTTTTTAACCAAAGAATTTTTATTTTTTATTACGTTTTTGTTTTAAATTTTGTTTATAATGTTTGAATTAGACAGAAAAGGAAGTCCTCGAAAAAGAGGTTGAAAAGAAAACAAAAGAGTTAGAGCAACTTATTATGCAGGTATGATTCCAATATTAAGCTTTGACCTGATTACTGTTTATTGGTTCTTTTATAATGATTTGAGACACTGAAGAGTTTGATGCCTAGGTCGTCTTGGTCGGGAGATATAGTCATCATAATCTGTGTATGGTTTGCAAGAGTCTAAATTTACACCTTGCATGACGCGAGCATTTTGATGAAAACGTTGATCGTGTACTATAAACCAGTTCTGTCCCAGTTTTTGTGGCTAGTGCCTCGGAACAATTTTAGGCTCGACTCAGCCCCCTATGATAGTTCGCGACCATTTCGAAATTAAAAAAAATTCAATAACTTTAACATTTTACACGAGCTTTTAACCGATATCTATTGGAAAAATAGAGTTCATTTGCACTTCAGAATAAATATCTTCAGTGTATTAATGCTGTATCTTCTACCATAGTCCGAAACGTACACTTCATTACTTTTGTCCAAGAAGAACGTCGTGAAAGACCAACAACAGGGTGTCATCAACTTGCCTTTTATAGCAGTCAGAACAAGCAAGAACACCAAAATACAATGTTATACATCTAGCGATGGGTAAGTTTGTGTCAAGAATCAACGTCAGACTTTTATAGAATATAACTTTGAATAAGTTTTTGCAAAATTCCAAATCGTTTATTTAATGTTCGATTCATAACTTTGGCTTCCTTCAAACACATGAAGTAAAACCTGAACAGCTTTTCTAAAATATTTAGGATACTACGCGCGCTGTGATTGGTCGAAAACCATGTTTGATTACAGTTTCTAAAATATTTAGGATACTACGCGCGCTGTGATTGGTCGAAAACCATGTTTGATTACAGTATCAAAACACGCTCGCGCACGTCAAAATTTTCTTTTTTTCTTTTAATTTTAGAAAAGAAATAAAAGACGAAATTTCGTGTTTGATACTCTGATCAAAACACTTGGGATGTAGGGAGAGCACTCGAAAAGCTGGAAACCACTCCGCTACGCGTCGTGGTTTCCTACGCTTCTCTCGTGCTCTCCCTACATCCCGCGTGTTTTGATCAGAGTATCAAACACGGAATTTCGTCTTTTATTCCTTAAATAAAACACACCTACTCGTTTTTTTAAATATCACATAGAACTGATTAATAAAACATCAGTGCTTTATCGGGATATAAAGGCCCATCATGTGACCCAATAGTTCGATACTAATTGGACTAATAGTTCATGAATTATTAATGAGTTCTAGAAAGGTTTTTGCGGGTCATTTCAGTGCGTCTTGTTTTGATGTTTAGTTTAGGCTCTTATAATATACTCGTTAGAAAACACGTTCATTTGCGTACTGGGTGTGCTATTGTTACAGTATTTCCAATTTAGCCTTACAATGCCTTCTGTCATAGTTTTGCTGCGGCGCAGAGAATAAAGACTCCAAACGCGTTTCATTGCGTCTTGTGTGGTTATTATAGCTTTAGATTTGTCTTGTGTCTTGATTCTACAGCAACGCAAATAAATAAATATTTGCTGTTTANTTCTCACTGAAGAATTGGACTAGGATTTTGTATTTGTGAAGTTTCAAGCTTGCTAGTTACCATTTTAAGACGATTTTGCATTGAAAATAGTCTCACCTTCCTCATCCGTCCAGCACGATGAAAGTTAGTACAGTTTCAGCGTGAAATCAGCTCAAATACTGTCTTTTTTTTCAAACTAGTCAACAACAGGTATTTTTCTGTTTAATCGACAATGCTTTTATTGTTCAAATTGTAATAAATTGCATTAAAGAGTGGAGTAAATCATCGTTTTTCTTATAAATAGAAATGACAAAGTACAAGTTTTGAAACTGAACTTTTGTTTTGCTTCAATTTTTTGATTTCTTTTGTACGAAAGAAAGTTTTATTTAGTTATATGTTATAAACTAATGTTTTTTGCTAGCTTTGATAGTAAGACAAGTGTAAAAATTGTTTGTCAAGAAGAAAATACAAAAAATTAGTATGCATTGATGAYATTTTGCTAACATGTTGTTTTTATTGTTGACTTCTTGTCCAGCCTTGTCAGTTTTGTCTTCAATATWTTCATGTATATTATTAATAAGTAATAAGATGGTTTCTCGTTCAATTAAAAACTTTCTCCCGGGTGGTTTGAATTGGCTTTTAACGTTTTAAAAAACGCTTATGGCAACGCGTTAGCCGAATGCCTATCTGGCCAGGTTTTAAGAAATKCCTTACAGCCAAAATCTTGTAGCAGAGATTAACATTGCAATTAAAGTAGAAAAAGGACTGCCGCTCCTAGGAATTGGTTTAAACTTGGCAAGATTTTATGATTCAAGAACGAGATCCTAAAAGGTKTATCAAAACTTGTCATTTTGGCGATAATGATGCAACTTAATTAAAGTGTCAGTCGTGCTTGTGGCAAGTAGACARCCATCACTATTAATCTCTATAATACTATATTGCCTCAAACAGTGAAATTACCAGTATTTTAGAAACACTTTTTTATATTTATTGTATTCCAGGTTCCAGTATCTGTTCAGGTTTGAGAGACCTTTTGATATTCTTGACAACACCGAGGTCTTGCAAAGGATGATTTCAACCTATAATCGCAAAAATGACGACTGTCATAATCATTCTCCAAATAAATGAMATTTCGGGGGTTTAGCTTTTCTCGCAGCTGATCCCGGTATCGTCATTTGTTTTGAAATCCGTTTGTTCTAAACTAAGCTCCATGTTGGATATCGACAAAACCGCTTTTCTCAGCTTGCGGAAAAGCTGATTAATACAGAAAGCAGATCGGATGGATTATATGGATGCATGACTAAGAAGATAATACATGGCTGATTCACGTTAAGCAAATTGGTTTTCAATGCATGCAAAATTAAACACTGATTGCTTTACTTACTAAGAAGAAATGATATAATGAGAAAGTATTCTGTAAAACCCGGTCTAACTGCTTTATATATATGATTAAGTAGGGTGTTGGCAATAAGAATACCATTCCACTGTGAAAARGAAAACCTCAGCAGGGGAGGCGTTTCTCTCTTCTAATGAAAACT